TGTGCTCTTCTCCCCCGCTTTGTATACCAGTGATTCCCTTATTTTCCCGAATCTGTATAGCCAGTGTTTCTATGAATATTATAAACAGCAAAGGACTTAGGAGATGCATTCAGTATGGTGTCTAGGTCTGAGATGATGATCAGATTGGAATCTTTTATTTATTTTAAATTAAATAATGCACCTCCATGATGTAGACCTGCTCCGTGCATAAAGCTGAAAATGTCTCTGTGTGAGTGTTGTAGCGGTCACCTCGAGTCAAATTATCAAGGAACTTTCTTGGACTCTCAGTCCTCTGATGGGCCTTCGAAGGGACAAAAACTCTGTTCCACTTAGAACTGAGTTTAGGCCACCTCAGGTCGCTTAACCATTCAAAGAGACATTCTCTTTCCGTCTAAATCAGATAATAAACAGAAGAATCTTAGTCTTATTTGATTTAGCGCTCTCTTAACTGAAAGTATTACGCATTTTGATAATCAGAGAATGTTTATCAAAGTTACAGGAGAAGAGAGGACAGATCTCTTTTCTCCCTCAGTATGATTTCAGCTATGTATGGTTTTTCTGTGGGAAAAATTCTTATTTAACTAAAATAATCTTTATGGTTTAAGTTGATGAAATGTCAATGTTTTACTTGTCTGAATCACATGTGCAAATGTTTTGAACTTGAAGCAATTCTTTTTTCTTTCAGTTATGTTTTAAATAAGTGCTCATCAGATAATTTAAATGGGTCATGAAATGTGTTGTTCTGAACCACACAGCAGCAGCAATAATCTTATTTAGTTTCAGGAGGGCACAGCGAGCTCTGAAACTAACACTTTCCTTGATAATTTCTTTTCTAATCTAACCTTCCGGAGGGCGGACCATAGATTCTCTAAGCTTTTAGGAACTAACAGTTTCCGCTCGTCTAACAGAGAGGAAAAAAAGAGAGAAAGAAAGGTGACGGACCGCCGTCAGTCACTGTAACAGCTAGATTCTCTCCGGGGAATCAAAAGCTGAAAACTGTCAGGTTTGGCCCCTTCACGCCAACGGGGAAACCTCACAGTGTGGAAAACCACGCCTGGTTTATCCACTTCAGAAACTCTCCAGACTGAAGTTTTATTCTGAAACCTGGGTTCCATTCGAGGCTTTGCCTTCTTTTTACTGCTGACGTGGACGTAAACGAGTCAACAAAACACGCCTTGGGGTCCCCTGTTCGACGGTCTAAAGACAGATTCTCCAGCAGCACCCCCATCTACCTGGCAGGTGACAGAACATCATCTCAAGGTAAAAGCTGGCTGTGTGTGGCATCGAGGTCTGACCAAAGCTGAGCACAGAACGCTTCGCCCTTCTGGTTAAAACCCACATTATTTAAGATAAAGTACAGAAAACCTAACATCTTCCTTCCACCCTTTTTTCTTAACCGTTTCCTTGCCAACTCCTAAGATAAACCGCCTCAAATGTCTGGTATTTAACATCTGAACTGACGTTTGTGTTTCTATTTAAGTGTGGTTAACAATTAAGAAGTTAAAAGCTTGTTATTGTTGGTCCCAAACTTTTTATAGGAAATTAATTGTTCACAATCAGGTGTACTCTAGTTAAATTTGTATGATTTGTAAAATAAATAATCGCATATTATGGTTCAAATCAACATTCACTGACTGAGAGTTACTTTTTGTGTCCATTCATTCTTGCACTAAAGAAATATTTACCCAAAATAAAAGAGATCCCTTGCTAATTAAATTACTCTTATAACCTTGTTATAAGAAGTGTAAGATAAACCCTTACAAATGGTGGAGAAATGCGTTCTTTTTAAATGATAAATATTTTTGTCTATGCAAAACATTGAATGTGTTAAACTGCTGGCTGGCATTGTTTTTATGTCATTTCTAAATGACTCATGATAGCAAACTGTCAGAGCTGATGGTGTTAAGAAAAATAAAGGTTACTGCAGGCTTGTTTTCTGTCATTATAGCTATAAAAGGTTGCTATTAAAAAAACATAAATAAAACTTTTAGATAGTTGCTTATCAATGCCGTGTTGATATGTCAGTGAGCTGACGTCACGCAGCAGCTGTTACATGTCTCAGTGAAGCTGAAGACGTGTTCCTTAAAACTAGGCTTAAAAAGCTGGTTTTTCATCTAAACTGCACTAGACTGCGAGTTTATGATTATTGCATGCATTTTGTCTAAAGGACAACTTATATTGTTGGATCCATTGAACCAGACTTAACAGGTCAGGAGTGTTAATTGCAATCTGTCAAAATGATGGACGACCTTCAGATTTTTCCGTCATTATTTAAAAAAACAGTCAAATACGGAAAATAATGTGCACTGCCAGTCCCGAGTCAAAGAGATGAAGGGCATCTTCCTCTTACTCTAGGGTTATTTGGTTATTATTTATTTCACAAATACTGTTGTGTATTTTACTGTATTAATAGTAGTATTTATTTCCTGGTTTCTGGAAAACAATAAATGTTCACGTTAAGGCACCCTTGCGACTGTCACACTTTTTCTGTTACAAACTGACCCTGGCCCTCCCATCAGAGAAGGGAAAAGTTATGTGGCCCTCACAGCAAAATGTTTGGGGACCCCTGCTGGAGGGTCATTATCATGTACGTTTTACTTGTTTCTTTGCTCCAAACACCTGATTTGAATGAACGAATTATTCTGCTTCTGCAGAGCTTGGAAAATGTTCTTCAATCACTGAATCAGGTGAGTTGGAGCAGAGACACAAGAAAAACACACAAGATAGCAGCCTTTGAGGACCAGATTTGACCACTTTTGAAATAGGACAGGGCGAATCTACTCTGTCTGACACGCAAATGAAGACACACACACACAGACACACACAGACACACACACACACAAAATATATGGTTGTATGGTTGGTTGATTGGTTGCATGTACAGTTGGATGTATGGTTGGATGATGGTCAGATGATGGCTAGATGTACAGCTGGTTGATGGCTAGATGTATGCTGGATGGTGGCTGGATAATGGTTGGATGATGGTTGGATGATTGTTGGGTGATGGCTGGATGATGGTTGGATGATGGCTAGATGATGGCTGAATGATGGCTAGATGATGGTTGGATGATGGTTGGATGATAGTATGATGATTATTAGATGATGGTTGGGTGATGGTTGGATGATAGTATCATGATGGCTGGATGAAGGTTGGATGATGGCTGGATGATGATTGGATGATAGTATGATGATGGTTGGATTATGGTCGGATGATATTATGATGATGGTTGGATGATAGTATGATGATGGTTGGATGATGGTTGGATGATACCTGGATGATAGTTGGCTGATGGCTGGATGATGGTTGGATGATAGTATGATAACAGTATGATGATGGTTAAATACTATTATGTTGAAAGTTGGATGATGGTTGGATGATGGTTGGATGATAGTATGATGATTGTTGGATGATGGCTGGATGATGGCTGGATGATGGTAGGATATATTGTTGGATGATGGTTGGATGATGGCTAGATGATGGTTGGATGATGGTTGGATGATTACTGGATGATGGTTGGATG